AGAGTCACGTTATGTCGCACGGAATCCCTCGTTGTGTTCAAGGCAGATCAATTAGCAAATTGAAAATAATTGGGCTCGCATTTGGGGCTCTCCGCGCTGTTAAAATTCGGTCAAATTATACTCAATTTGAGTCATTTCAATCATTCCTATATTGGCTTGATTGATATTGGTTTAAAAATTTTGTTCTTTAATATTTAACAGTGTAGGTTTAGATCAATTAGAGATATATTTTTATGAAGCTTGCACGGAGACATTTCTAGCGCACGCGTTTCTTTGAATGTTTTTTATATATCAATTTATATTAATTCACATTAATTCTATCGATAATGAACAGGGAAATGCTCGTTATAATTTGTAAACCGTATTTTCTTGGATCAGAGACTCCAAGAATATTGGTTTATCGTTAATTTTAATTGGCATTAGCTTAAACCAGGAATACCAGATTCACGAAAACGTAGATTATCGATACAAATTAATATAGGAACATACCTAAAGAAGAGATTTAAAAAATGCAATTAATATCAATTTCAATATCAATCCTAATATCAATTTCTTAAATTAATTTCGTTGATAATGGACAAGGAAATACTCGCCGTAAGTTGTAACGCGTATTTTCTTAGAGCAGAGGCTCCAGGAAACGTGCTTACTAAATTGCTTAATTTTAATTAATTGATATTAGCTAAGAAATAGCAGATCCACGAAAATTTAGACTTTTTTACAAACTTTCTCCTTTGCTTTTTTCTTGTTTTCTTTATGAACTTTCGATAATTCAGAGAAATCGCGGAATGAAATTCGTTGGCAGTGCGTAACACCAAGCTTAATATAAGAGCTCGATTAAATAGTAAAAGTGATTTTGGTTCTTTTTTATATAGATTACGAGATCTACGAAAGACTCGCTTGATCGGATCGTTCCGGTGGCCAAGGAAGATTTACGTAAGTTCCATAGAATGTTACTTACAATTTCGTTGCTTCACAACACGCCAAATTATTCAGATAATCACGATTTATTACACTGTCTATTAGCTAGTCTTACAAATTGGTACATGAAAATATGAGAGAACGTTAGATTAAATAGACATGGAAAAGTGTGAGAGGAAGTCGGTTAAAAGATATCTATATTTTACACGAATAATATTATTGAACTCAAATTCCAATCACCGTTTTAAATAATACGAAATGATTTATAATAATTTTTATTATAGATTCTTCATTTTACACGCCTTAAAAATGCGTTTAGTATCAACAGTTATTATCACGTTAACGATGTACATTACATATATTACATTTAATAAATTTTGTATTAATTATATTAATATTATATTATCATACTTCGTCCAATGATAATTTTAATAAACGGAATTATTTTCTTCACTTAACAGCGCAGTTAGAGAGCGCGAGCCTGAGCCACACAGCGGCGCATCACCGGATCTCCGTGCGTCCGAAGAACCGACGTCCACCGCGTCGGACGACGCCGACGACAACGCCGACCAACGGTGCCGCGCCCAGCTCGCCGTCGATACCACCGACCATCGCCGAAGACACTCTGGACAGTTTGGAGCATCAGGAGCAACAGCCCCAATCGACCAGCAATGCGCCGTCACCGACGGAACCGCCCAGGGCCATCGGCGTGACGAGGAAGTCGTCGAGCCGACTGTCTCGCAACTCCGACATCTTCGAGGAGTTGGAATCGAGGCTGCCGCGGAAGCCAAGCGCGACGTCGTTGTCACCGGATAGCCTGGATACTACGACAGCGTCGCGAAGCAGTGCCGAGATGGCCGCCACTACCGAGGAACAGCAGCAGGCGGAAGTCAGATGGGTGCCGGTCGTCAGGAAGCCGTCCAACCGGATATCCAAGGGCTCTGATGTGTTCGAAGAGCTGGAAGCGAAATTGCCGCGCCGAAGATCTTCGTCGAACCGGTTATCCAAGTCGCCCGACAGCCTGGATTCGTCTCCCGGCTGTTGGTTCTCCAAATCCACCGAGGAGGGCTTTGACAAGCTGGTGGAGTACGAAGAGACCGCGAAACCGGTTGCTTCGGTCAGAAGACAATTGCTGAATCCGATCTCGAAGTCCACCGATCGCGTCTCCAAGTCGTCAGACAGTTTAGAAGCGATCGAGCCGCTGGCCAGCGATGATTCGATGGAGCGACGACGAAGTAGCTTTGACTTCCGAGCGCGTAGAAGTTCGAAAGCGATGTCCAAGTCGTCGGAGAGCTTTGACGTGCTCGAAAGCGGCTGCGTCGGCGAGGAGATCGGCCACGAGTTGCAGAAGAGAAGCAGCGTATCCGACATCAATTTATCGCGTGGAAGAAGACTGTCGAAGAGCGTCTCCAAGTCGTCCGAGAGCTTCGAGAGAATCGATATGAGCGACTTGAAGGACGATGTCGAGGCGGATGTGATATTGGATGACGACACGCTGAAGATGAGCGGTAGACGGTCGAGCAAGAGAATGTCTTCGGAGAGCTCGGATAATTTGGACGTGGAGGACAGGCTGGAGAACAGGAGGGTCAGAAGAACGCCTAAAAGAATACCGAGTACCAGTATAGTGGACGTAGTAGTTTCCGGAGATGACCACGAGGGAGAGAAGCGACCGACTCCCACCAGGAAGCCGTCGAGACTTCAGAAATCCTCTGAAAGCTCGGAGCTGGGTAGCACAGATACTCTGGATTCGGAAAGGAGGAACAAATCGTCGGAGAGCACCGAGACACTGGATAGTCTGGAGAAAGACTTGGAGCAGGACAGGAAGGAAGAAGAAATCACGGACAGCGTGATAGATAGGCGTGAAAAAAATGTAAGACGTTAGGGAAAACAGGAAAATATAAATTAAGAAAACATTTTTCTATTTTTTTTTCTTTATCTGAGAAGAAATTAGTGAAATGAATAAACTTGCTTGGAATTAATTAATTTTTTTTTTATCAGGATTCTCTCTCTATCTCAAGATAATAACAAAATTTGCTATTAGTGTTAGAAAGAACTATGTGTAAGTTAAGTAGCTTTTTCAGATATATTCTCCAAGTATTTTCCCAATCGTTTTTTTCGATGACAGAAGTTAATCTGTAACAATCTTTTAGGATTCTTGGTCGAGCAGAAATGTACCGGCGACCGATTCCGATCAAACGTCAATGGGGGACGACACCGAAGACTCCAAGTCGCTCATTTCCGCCGACAATAAATACTACTGGCGCCAGACTTCTGAGCCGGTGTCTAAAGAGAACTTGGGTATCCAACAGTTGTTGGCCATCACAATAATGACCAGGGTGGCTGACAACGGAAATAATCAACGCGGCTCCGTCATCTATCCGAAGAAGAAGCAAATGAGCACGTCGCAGCCGTCGTCGCCGGTAGCCAAGCAAGAGGACACGAAGATGCTTTTCGACAATCTGCTAGTGAGCAATAAGAACGACGAAGATCTGCAAAACATGCTCAACGGAAACATATCGGAGGTGTCCACCGACACTAAGAGCTTCAAGGAGAAACTGATCATGTTCGAAAAACTTGGGAAATGAACGCGCCCGGCGATAGAGCGATATGGAATCATTCTTTCGCGATTCTTCTTTTCGATTAATGGATCGCTTCGTTAGCGGCCGATGCTTAATGCAAAAAATGAAGA